AATAAAATGTTTTTAATTGTGTACCAGTTTAACATTGAATATTATTTATGATTTTAACTTTATACACAAGTGCCAAAATACTATAATTTTGTAGACTGTCTTTCAAAAGTGATCAAACAATTGTAACAGTAGGTTTTGCACACAATTACAACATATACTGTGCCATTGCATATTTTTCAGTTGTAAACTATTAATTACATAGATAAGGTGTTTGTGTGACATTACATCACAATAAGACTGATAATAATTTTTAATAAATCTTTATTGTTAAAAGGGTTAGATCATATATCATAATAATTATGTATTATGCTTCTATAGAAATCAAACATTTCCTTAAAATTGTGTTAACCACTTTAAGATGTTACTCTGAAAGTTACATAAACTTCATATCCCATTCGTTAAATCTTTAGTGAGTGTAAGTATATTTTATGATGCAAGTTTAAAGATATTTTTCTTTAAAATGTTTTTCAGGTGAAACTTGTTCGTCTTATTGGCATGATGTTAATAATTTTTGTTCAAGTAAAACACGTTGATTGTATACAGAATGTTGCTGCAGAGACAGTTGGTACAGGAATTATGGGGAAGATGGTAAGGAATGAAGCAAATCATGTTATAAAATTCAGAAATACCTTTTAAGCATAAAATGTATATATATATATATATATATCGAGCTCAGATAATCATAAAACTGTTGCTAATCACCACAGAAGTATGACATGGGAGGATGTTTATTTTCTTTATTTAAATGTATGATATTGTTTGTACAATGTTTAATATCTGATTCACAGTGATTTTGTTTGTAAGTGTAACTATATAATGTCAAAAATGTTATTACTTTTAACTGTAGTTAAAAAATTAAGTTGCTTTTTTTTGCTTCACTTCCCAAATAAAAGAAGCATGATTTCAGGTATGGTAGGATCTAACTCATTTGAAGATTTATTGAAGATCTGTATGATAATATAGATTTTTTAACCCAAAATATCAAGTATAAAAAGCACATCCATCATAGTTGAAAGTGGCAGCAAGGAATCATTCTGTAAGCTACATATTGCTAGGTATCTATAGAGAAATTCTGAGGTTCTGAGTTGATCCTAATTTTTAATATAATTTAACTTTGATAAATAGTGAATGTGCCTGTTACTGACATATTTAGAAATGTTTAAGTTCTAAGATTTTAGATCATGTGACTTTATTAAGCTGTAAATGTGTATATAACTTACATATATTGAAATGTTTCAAATAACCATGCTAGTTTCATCTGATTAAAAGGTGGAAAAAACTCACAATGTGAGAGTGACAAGTAGTATTGATTTAAGATGTGCTTCAGATTTGCAATCACAAGATATTCAGATTTCTTCTTGCACTTAATCCACAATTCTACTCACTATGGTAAAGCTGTTAGTAAAGATTACAGCATTGCATTCAGTCTGCACATGACGAACTACATTGTACACAAGATGTATGTACTTCCCAGTGTTATTAGTACATGGTCATTTGTACTTGTTGACACACTAGCTATCAAGTGGTGGATTGAAGAAACTCTAGCTCAGGTAGGGCATGAAAACCTATATACCAGAAAATATGTTTTACTCCTGGAATCACATCTTTTATTTTCAAATGTATAAAATACTAGTTATATCTCATCTACATCTTAATGTGCTATTATTAAAAAGTAAATGTAAAGTCAATATAGTTTTAGATGGCTTTACATTGATAAATATCATATACAGATACAATACATTATAATTTGATTGAAATTTCCAACATTATTTGAGTAAATGAAACTAGGTTTGAAATAACAATAACATTAGGAGCTGTCTCAAATTCAGATTAAAACAAAAACTATACACAAGTCATAAAAGCTCAGAGCAATGTCACAGCAAGATATTTAAGCTCACAACCTTTCACTGTTGAAGCCAAAATAATAAAAAATAATTATTTTCAATATACATATACACGTACAGTGGGTTTCACAAGTAAGTGACCTCACTCAAAATACACTACAAGACTGACTAACTTACGGTTTAGAATTCTATCAGAGCATAAAAAAACAACTCTAAATAGTTCTTTAGTTTGCTTACATAACTGTTTACAAATCATTTGTTGTGAATTGACATCATGTTATTCGAACCTTCTGAATTTTTCTCGTTGTTTCATTGAATATTGTTACTTCATAATATCTCTTTGTTTGTAGAAAGTTCTAGGCCTCAGACAGGCAATATCTATGTATTTTCACTAACATACTTGCATTAACTTGATCATCTTGTTGTGTAGAGATTGACAGAACACAATAAAAAACTGTCCCTTGTTTTTCACTATTGCAACTCAAAAAACCATAGTACATCTATTAAAAACACTGTCATTTTAAATAAAG